AGTTGAGAATTCAGTGAAAACGCTTATATAAAAGTGCTTCAATTATTTGTATTAAGATGGTTTATATTTGCAGTAATTATCGGTAAGTTTGAGATTAATTATTAATAAGCAATTAGAGTGCAATTTCGGCATTCGCAATTTATTTTATTTAATAGTTTTTGGTAAATTTATTAAGGTTATAATTTTTGGTGATTTTTGTTTTTTTTTTCTCAACTCGAGTTGGTCATAAGATTCTAGTGTCTTTTTTTTAACTAAATTAAAACCAAGTTGGTAACAGATTTAGTTTAATTGTCATTCATAAATATTAATTAATTTATATTACTTAATTATTTCAGTATAAATCAGAATATGAATTATATACTCATTTTATTATTTACTTGTAACTTAATTGCTTAAGTATTGATACATTTGATAATTGGTAATGTTAAAAAATTGAATTGTAAAATTAACTAAATTTTATATACAATTTATATTGTATTATATAAATTTAGTGTTTCTTCAGAAAAATAGTTGTTTTACTGTAGCAATTTGAGCTTTTTGAAAGTAGTTAATCCAATAGGAAAATCATAATTTTTCACTTTGAAATTACATTAAAATTTAACCGAATTTTAGCAAAATTAGCTTATCACAAACAAAAGTACTATAATTGTTATTAAACTTTGTATAAAGCAATTTCAGAGTTAGTAAACCAATGAATAATAAAACAAAACTTTCTTTAATTGTATAAAACTAATTAATTAATTAACACTATTTATTGTAAGAACTGAAATTTAAATAGTTACCATAACAACGATAATTAAAGTACAAACAAATCTTTTGTTTCTGTTACTTAACATATTGTTAAATTAAACGTGCATTCATTTGTTCATTTTATTTCGTTTATTAATCAAACAAGCTTAGAAAAAACAAAATTCATTAATTGTCAGTGAAAACTCTTATATAAAAGTGCTTCAATTATTTGTATTAAGATGGTTTATATTTGCAGTAATTATTGGTAAGTTTGTAATTAATTATTAATAAGCAATTAATTAGAGTGCAAATTGGGCATTTTGAATCTTTATTTTCGCAATATATTTTATTTAATAGTTTTGGGTAAATGTATTAAGGTTAAAATTTTTGGTGATTTTTGTTTTTATTTCTCAACTCGAGTTGGTAAAACCAAGTTGGTAACAGATTTTGTTTAATTGTCATTCATAAATATTAATTAATTATATTACTTAATTATTTCAGTATAAATCAGAATATGAATTATATACTCATTTTATGATTTACTTATAACTTAATTGCTTAAGTATTGATACATTTGATAATTGGTAATATTGTTCAAATGAAGTTGCCTACATTAAGATAAAACGAATTAAAATCCTCTTACTCTTAATTATTCCATTATTTGACAATTTCATGTTTGAATTGTAAATGAATTATGGTCTAAATGTTTGAGGATTTGCTGAAGGTTTATAGGTCGGGTAGAGTTAATGGTAAGTTAAAGTTGGATTAGAGTAAGAGATTATGCAAACATTTCGCGGGCCAATGCATACATTAAGCATGTCGGACTGAATTTATGGAATTTGTCCGGATGATTAGAATGGGGGCACCTGCGGCGGAGGCGGCGAAACTTCATCAATCTTGCAGCACTATTATTATTTTTTTGTTCTTCTTTGGGGTTGCAGTTGCAGTGGGGTGCTAATCCTATTTTGTAGCTCGTTTCAACTCTTTAAAACTACAATTTCATGCCGTGTCATACGCGCGTTAGCTGTCGCGATCCGTAGGGGTCGGAAGGACAAGTGTCCCTCCTAATCCCCGACATCTATGATCCGACTCGTATAGCCAACTTCTTCCTCCTTCCTGCTGTGCGTCGATGGACCATAACTCCATCGACGGTCTATTTCCGAAGTCATAAGGTTACGGGATCTCAGCTGAAGAAAGAGGACACGTGCCGTGGATCGACGACGCAGCTATTAGTGCCTCAGGGCCCATCAACAACTTCGCACCTTATCGAATTTCCAACCTTTGCTCATGCTGTCTAAACACACTCGTCACTACCTGCGACCCCCGCGCGCCCCACGAGATTTATCTCCTTGTTAACACGTGTTTTTATTTTAAGCTTTACCATCCACTACAACAACTATCTCTTCAACTATTGGAAACAACACATTGTTTTGTCAGCTTCCTTCAGTCACATTTTTTCATATAAACTTAAGAATATTCATTCATCAAACTTTAGATACTTCAATATTTGCAAGTATATTTCAGTCATATTATTTAGATTAATTAAGATAAAAAGTTTAATTAAATTAGGAGAACAATTG